CTATCCTATGGACAAAATGGGCAATTGCCTGGGGCCTTCAACTCTTTAAAATGCTCTATTAATGAATACTTTATATATAAACCGTTCTCTTATGTCAGTGGTTCTAAACCTTTCTGGGAGTTTTTTAAGGGAAAGGATCCCTGTTGGTTCCCTGTTGATGGAAGCCACAGGCAATTGACCATTTTGCCCATCTACAAATAGAACGGTATCTTTGTCGCGTGCAAATTGAAATCACTTTCGATAAATCGGCCATTTTTATCCAAATATTACGCCACTTTTTAGACACTACAAAGCAACTAGTCATCCAGTTACAATGATGAATATCTTTAACGATAATATATTCAACAATTTATTACTGTCGATATCGATTTCTACTTGTAGTTAATGTGAACTATGAATACTAAAATTTCCAAGAGAAAGCACACGATAGCGCTTACGAGGAACACCATTTCCTCCCCCTATAAACTCTGTTTTCATGTTCTATAGACCTAACGGAATAGTCGAGATTATCTTTGGCAGAAAACTCTAAGATATATCTTAACTTATAACAAGGGGAAAGTAAGAAGATCGGTCGAATAATGACCACCCCCACGTTTGTGGACTCGAGAGGAAATCTTGAGAAGTGCATAAAATGTTGTGTTTTCCTATATGTATGGATGTTAGTGTGTGGGAGCTCGATTTCTTTTCATCCACTTCGAAGCTTAATAACTCCTGTACCTTTCGCCGAAAATATTTAAAATTTTGCAGGGTTGTTTGTGTACTGAGGAGGAATATTCGTAGAAATTTTCAGGAGAATCGAACCATTGGTTTGTGAGATTGGTTCCTTAATATATACCTAACAAATATGAAGACTTATATAGAAATTGTAGCAATTATTAGGGACGAAAACAAATAAAGAATGCCGAGAAAGTACGAATATAACATTGACAGTTTTATTGTTAATAAAAATGATTATAAAAGTCAAACTTATTCGAATTGGATGTGATGTCAATGACACCTGACAGCCATACTGGCTCCTTGAAAAACACTTGAATACGAAACATTTTAATACCAAAACACTTTGATATGTATCACATCTGTTAGTTAGTTTATCAGTTAATTATTAAATGGTCTTTTTCGAGAAAAAGAAACAAATGTAAGCAACATTCCCTTCATTTTTTCAAGAAGATTACGCATGTTTTTCGACCAGAGTCAGCCATTTTAACATTTCGTCTTCTACAATTAGAGCATAAAAACTTCGTTCGCCTCCATTGTTTAATGCTGGCATACGGAAGTGAAACAGAAATATTTATAATTCTCAATAATAAATCTAAGAAAAAAAGTCTAGCGATTAAATAAATAACTCGAAATTAATACTAAAAGGGCACGTTTTATTTTAAACAGGAAAACGCTTCAACCTTTCGTAAACCACTCTCAGAAATCCCCCCAAAAAAACCCATAAGAAATTAAAGGAAATACGTAGATCTTACAACGATTACACAATAAAATTTAAGATCTATCGATCCTATTATTAGTACAGAATCACTTACATGTCAGATGTACACCCCACTCCCCCCTTAGCCTACATACGCAAGCAGCAAACTGATGCGAATCATCTATCATTCGAGATATAAATGCATGGATCCATTATAAAATATATAATTTATTTTGGGAAACGTAAATTTTGTTACAAATATAGTTTCTAGAAGAACCTTAACTGTAGTTCCATCACGAAATTCTCACCTTTCCTAGTAAATTAGCCTATATAATGGTGATTTTTATGGCTCCGAATGGCAGGTAATGGAGTTTTTTTTTTTTTTGTATTGTATTATTGAAAGGGTGAAGTTTTCAATAAAAATTGTTACATAATGCACTTAGATACTGAGTGTTTAATAGGCGAATCAGGAAATCACGAATGATCATTGTTCAGAAATCACCTGAAAGTTACTCGATAAGAGGGTGATCATTTCCAGGAAGGATGCTGAAAGCTCTCGACTCGACAGCTCGAAGTGGATCAGATTTACTTATCGGCGAGACACTAAATAAGTAAATTGAATAAGAATGTCGGCGGGATGACACAGGGAAAGTATGGCGTATAGAAATGCAAAACAAATTGGGTATTTTTCCCTGTATGTATGTCATGTGGTATGTGGAATTCACCTACTTTGAAGATTAATATCTCCCGTGCCTTTAATCGAAAATTCCTGGAATTTTTCAGGGAGATTCTTGTATTAGTGGGAAATGTTTCTAGAAATTTTCAGGAAAATCGGATCATTGGTTCGAGAAATATGGCCCCCCCAAAACCTTAATACTTCCCGAACCAATCCGGAGACTTGTAATAGTAGTAAATTATTAGGGACGAAAACAAATAAATAATGCCGCGAAAGTCCAGCAACAACGTTTCCAGTTATTATTAATAATTAACATATAAGTTTATTTTCTGCTTGGCCAAGCGATCATTTCATACTTTGAACTTTTCCGCCACATCCTTTCGTTTTCTAGATCTTTAATAATATTTCTATTTTTAATTAAACCCGGGAATCTCAAAATAACATTAAATAAGTCCGGATTCGTGCTATTTCGTAACGGATGAACAAACAATAATAAAGAACACAAAGGAATCCTTTCAAAAATCCGGAACAATCTACGAAAATACGAAGAAAACCATTCCGATTGAACCAAATATTTTAAAGAGGGAAAGGTTTTTCGAATCCATTATAAGCTTAAGAATGGTCAAAAATAAATCTGTCGAATATCAAATAGACTTTTCTCCTGTAAAAAATGAATTAAAAGTAATTAAGCTTTCAATATCTGGTCTCGATTTGCACCTAACTCCATCCATTCTCGAGATTCGCGAAGAAATCTCCATAAATCCACAAAAGAATCGACATTGGAAGTTCACAATTCCACTTTGCATCACCAAAAATTGCAAATAAGAAACAATTCCCAGCCTGTATTTCGGAAGAATTCAGTAATTCTATGAAGATTTTAGTGGCTTAAAGCCATAGTTTCAAATTAAATTTGAATAATAAGGATTCGAGAACTAAAGAAGAACCCCCGCAACTAAATCTTGGATCCGATTCGCATGGTCAAACATTTTGATAAGTCGACGATCTTACCGAGCAACTTAAGGAGAGTGAATCCCCCCCAAAAAAAACATGACGAGGAATTAAAAAACTTATAGGAAATTCCAAAAATATGACCACTCCCAAACAAATAAAATAAATGTGTGTCCTCCACGTGGATTCAAAGTAAGCCATTGTTCGTTTTTTTTACGTCGTTAAAGGAAAGAATTGTATCTTCTGTTGTACATGGAGAATACAAATCGAGGTCTCGATCATTATACAGTATATAACAAGAGATTTGTATAATATTGCATGCTTATTCTTATAAGGAAATTTATTGCATGGTTCTACTTTTGATCCGGTGGTGATTCTTTTTTGTTTTACTTTAAATGCAGCGGTATTTTTATAGGAATTGTCAAGTAGATGATTACTGTACGCGGCTTTCTGTGTAGAGCAACACGTGCCCGGTCGTTCTTCCTTCCTATACTAGTTTCGTACACAACCAGCCGACTAATTTCGTACTGTATAATGTGCCCATTGTTATAGGTGGAAAGGTGTGGGTGAACCGTCGACGCGTCCTATAAAAATACCTGTACGAGTTACGTAAAGGGTAAAGAAATTTGCCGTAATCTTCGGCCTTACCTGGCTCATGTAATCCTTATCATCATGGTAACGAAAGATTCGGGCTCTTAGAAATGATCCGCGGTTAGATGACGCGTCGTCTATTGTCTAGCGTCACTGGTTCGAAAGCAGCCAGGCGAAACTTACCGGATGCCGGCAAACCGGGCGGGTCGAGGCACCACCCCACTTAATCTTCCCATCTAAAACCCCGTTCACGCTATTGTTAATGGTCGCCGGATCGACTTCTATTAATTTCCGGACTGCCAATAACTTCGGTTTAAGAAGTTCGAGTGAATGACGTTAAGTAAGCCATTTGTAATTGGAGGGATGGAAAAAAAAAACAATGAAGGACGACGATACGCTTTACGAATCGGAAGTTACGCATTGCGGGTACGAAAACTCGGAAAATTGTGATGGAAATTCTCGTGTTCGACGTCACACGGGACGAACTTTTCCTATTCCATCCGAAATTCGACTTTCGAGGAGAGTCCAGGCGCGGTCTGGCGCACCTCCCTCGTCATAGATAGCGGGCAGCGACATCGGACGGTGGGCGGGCGACCCCGTTTACGGGTGCACGAATCGCCCCGGGTCCACTACCACAATGCACAATGCAAGGACGGATCCCGGACGCCACCCCGTCCGAGCCGCTAACGACTCCGATTATCACCCCCCCCCACTTGGCATTCCGACCACTTACCATCACCAATTTACACCCCCCCCCCGAATCTTGTGTTTGCCCAAAGTTGAGATCTTCGAATCGCATTCCATCGACGTTTCCGAAATTACTAACGAAGAATCTCGATTTCCTCAGTTTGCAAAGATATAAGTGGTTTCATAGAGGGGTTACCATATTAGCGGGCCTTACAAACTTCAGAAAACTCCGTGTAACGCTTATACTTCAGCAAATTTTATCTGGCCCCCTTTTTAGTTAGTTGTCGAGTGATAAGATTTGGCGGGGGAGGAAGTAGGAAGAGAATGGAGAGAGAGAAAGGGAGCCCGATCTTATTTTTGGCCTCGACCCTCCAGCACGAGGCGGGTCCGCAACCGCGTGAGAAAGAGCGAAAGCGGGTCGAGGACGACCGTCCCGGCTTTTCTTTTCGTGAGAAAAGTTGAATTTACAACGAGGAGGGCAAAGGGAGGAGCCCGCGGCCCGCATCCCGGTCTCCTCGTACGGTAGACCGCGAGCTATTCGGGGGGAGGACGAGGTCGACGTTCGATGCATCTCTCCACTGCTATTCAGATACTAGGCCCGCTTCCGGCCCGCCGGATACCCTAAAAACGGGGAGAACGACCGCGAAAAAGGTTCGACGACCGAAGAAACCAGAAGGAACTGACCTGTTGCGGGGTGTCGCTGGGCTATCTTCCGTCCCTGGTCTCGACCGGGACGGCTCGTACGCGCATCCTTCCTCTTTCCTAGTCGACTCGCTTCTGAACGTGTATCCACGCCGATATCATTCCTCGACCTCGCTTTCGTCACACCGAATAGCGTATTCCTCTAATCGAACCTAATACGGGGATAAATTTTTGTTTTATTTTTTCGTTTGGAAATTCGAATCGGATTTCTTTATTACTAAAAACTTATTTATTAACCATATTATATTTTTATAAGATTTAAAAGTAATCATTCACTACGATAACTTTAGAAAATAAATAAATAAAATATTAGACATTATCAATGGAGAAACTTGTGTAAGAACCATGAATTACCGTCTCAATTTTTAATTTCTTGATATAAGAATATATAAACCATTTGTAGAAGGTAATCTATAAGGATGAAAATGATATAAACAAAAACATTTTGTGACGTTTTCATTAGATGTAGGAAGTTCTTCATCCTACATCTAACCTTGAAGCCTCTTCCACGTATTGTATAGAAATTTCGTGATAGATGCCAACTCGGCACTATTTTTCTTTTACAATAAAGAATTGCCAAGAGAAAATTAAATACTTCAACTTTTCGATTCGAATTTCGGATATACCAAACGATTCTGAGGAATCCAAGTTTGAGACCAGCCCGAATTTTCAAAACTCTTCTCGAATGGTTTCGTTTGGATCGTTTCTCTTCACCTGTTCAGACAATTTAGTCGGGTTTTGAACCCATGATGGGCAGAAAATAGACTCATGGTTCACACTCAAAAAGAGTTTTAAATAAATTCAAAGACTCTAATTTCGAATTCGTCAATCTCGCGGAGTGTTTACCTGGTGCTCGTGTCTTCAGAAAATAGAAATAATAAAATAGTACTGTTATGGTTTGAGTTATGGCAACGTAACACTTCACAGATCTACCTAGGGGGTTGCCTTCCGGGAGATGTTTTTAAGAGAAACTAGTCCCTATTTAGGGGTTACAAACGTGAAGAAAACACGGAAAACTCCACGTGGCCAACCCGTCTGAGCGAGGCGCGAACCCACGACCGTAGTCATAGTGTTTAGGGTACGAAGACCGCTTGGCCACTGGTAGGTACCGATACTGTTGTGCAGATGCTCGACTAGTTTGTTTCTATTTATATTTCTTTCGTTAATTGATGTCCTGTAACTTTTGCATATTGTTTATAGTTGAGTGACAAGTATTTGTGAGACACGTAGTGTAATCACACGTTGTTCAATTCTTAGCGATTCGAGTTGATCTGTGGTTTTACGCGATTATTAAAGAAATATAGTCATTCAGACAATAAAGTCCTGAGTGTTCGAACCCGAACTCTCAGTATGAAAGTCAGTCGCTTCGCTATTAGGAAAACGCTTGCTAGAAGACCTAAGGGAGATAACTTTCTATCTTTTTGGTATCCCTACGTAATCTGTGAAAGAAAAAATTCAACAACCAGTTGCTTAACTTTCCCGGCAACATTTGGTGTGGCCAACTGTTATATTTTATTTTTAAAATTTTTTTTAACTATTATAAAAAGGCAAAAATGCTTAATTTTGAGGGTAAGGATGGGTTTTATTAAAAAATTGTAAATGCTCATAATTAGTAAAATCGTCATTAAATCCGACCCTACTGGAGATACACACGACCCTATTATCTCCCCCACCCCTCGACCTTTAACCACCAAAAATTAACAGCATCATTCCCCCCTAATAAACAAACCTCCTTGCAAAATTTCAGAAATTTTTGACAAAAAGCCAGAAGTTATGAGGGTGAACAAAATCGTGCATCCTCCTAACAGACATTAAAAGAGATGAAACATTGGCATAAATATATGTAGTATATATTTTAATTTTCGACTATTGTCTACCTTCTAAACCTATTGCCCCTAGACAATGCTTGCAATGGGCTGTCTCTCAAGAGTTATCTATCTGCAATGGCTAATTTCCCATAGAATGCCCTCACAGGACTAGTGGAAGTGATGGCTTTCTACGGGAAACTGGCCCCTATTTACATAGTACAAACAAAACCCGGTAAATTCTACAGGGCAAGCCCATTATAGATGCGCGAATCCACAATCTCTCTTATTATAAAAAGCGTTTATAACAAAATCTCATAACAGATGGCGCCACACACAATTTTATTTATTATGTTTAATAATATAAAAGTTACTTTTCAAATATAATCTCATAACAGTCCGAAAAGTTTATTTAATGACATAAAATAGTTAAATCTAGAAACATCGTTTTCGTTAAATAGGAAATGACGTTACGTTTTATACTCTCCTGTGTGTTAAGCTTTAAACGTAAAGGAATAATAACAATTCTAATCGCCATTATAAGAAAAAGCTAAACTTCTAAAGGCATAAGCTACACACTCAATTTTCAGAGACTCATTTTTTCGGAAATGCTTGAGAAATGGGACAAGGAGCTGTTTGTGTCTAGCTCTCTTCTTGTCAGTCTCTCCCAATCTACATCATGAATTTCAAGAGCTTGGAGACAGGTTCTGCCATCAATAATTCAGTCGTTTCTTCAAAGTTCAGTATGGAAATTCAAGTGAAGTCTGATCTAATTACTAACTTCAAGACTACACTGGTAGACTAAAAAGAACACAGCAATGCAATCAGCAGAAAATATCATTCGAGCAACAAAGGACTTTCAGGATGACATAAAATCCACATCAGAGGAATTTAACGACCACCATACATTCGATACCGACTAGTGTGGTGGTTTCTAATACGAAATACTGTCTACAAAGATTTAAAATTTCAAAGGTAAAAAGATCAATTTTTGGGTACGCTCAATCACCAAAAAATATGGCAACACACAGTTACACTGTACGGTATGTTATTAATTTAATAAGGCTGGTGATATCATCGGCAATGTTTTCTTATGCTTACAAGAACGTGGGAGGAGTCTCGAGCCAAAAATACAAGCGGAGATTGATGGTTTCAAGCCTTCTAACATCGCTGTTACTTGTAGCACGTCAGGCAAAATGAACAAATCTCTAAAGCAATCCTTTTTGGAAAGACAAGTATAATGAAAAGTTTCCTTCTTATGGTAGATTCATATACATACATAAAAGAAAGACATCGGCCGTACACGAAATGTTTAGCCGGCAGAAAAAGGGTAAGGGAACGGAGAGGGAAAGAAAATGGGAGAGGAGATAGATCGTAGAGAAAGGTAGGATCCCTCTGAACGGCGTACATATTGCTATAGTACCCTCTATGTTGATGTTAGCGTGCAATTTTTAGGCTACAAGGCCGTAGTCCCCCGAAGGGTCTAAAAGAAAACCTAAGTGCAGCGAACACCAATAATTGAGTGCCGCCACGAATAGCTAAGTGTAGAAGTTAGTGCCAAGTAGTTCTCAAACGGGATCACGGTTGTTTTTTTAACTCGGAAAATCCCGCAAATTTCTTAAAAGATCACTTCTTATTTTGTGTTAAGGTTGTGGAAATTTTGCAAATAGAAACTATAATTAACTCATAAACTGTCAGAATACATTTGTATTTATTAATTTTAAATCTACTTATTGGGCAAAGATACAAACGAGTACAAAGTCTGCAAGTATGAAGTTTTTCTTCACAAACCTAATTATTAAAGCCAAACGAATTGCCGAATTATCGAGCTATAAGCTTGATGCCGCTATTAGAGTATCCGAGGCAGACAAATCAAGAATACTAGAGAGCAAAAGAAGTACTACAATCTCGAAAACGAACTAGAAATCTGCCAAACTACGGGTAAAAAAACACATAACATCTGCTTTCTCTGAAATGCATTAAAGACGATTAGGTAGCGGGACTTCTCATTACTAAAATAAGAATCAGATTGAGTGATCGCAAGTATATGATGGAACGTTATACGCGTGTGAATGAGTTGGTGCGAGTTGAAAGGCCAGTTGTACCCTTCAAGAATAGCAGCTCTCATTAAGCTGTCCCTAATGTGATTGTACCAATTGAAGCGAAAAACTAAAGTGGTGTTTGGTCCTCATGAATACCACAATTGCATTGTGGATTGTCCCCAAGGTTAAATTTATGCAAGTATTGCTTAAAGTTGCCGTGTCCTGTAAGTAGCCGAGTGAGGGTGTAACTAGGGTGAAAGTGGCGAAAAATCGTAGTAGTATCTTGGGGATGAAAGTGTAGGTGAGCCTACCAGTAGTGTCACGGTCCCAGCTGTCATGCCAGAGAATGAAAATTTACTTCTTGACGTGATTGTTGATGTACGAGGTAGGAATGTAACTGAAAGTACTAGTGACTAAAGACTTTGCCGCTTATTTGGCAAGACGGTCAGCAGTCTCGTTGCCGAGAACCCTGTATGACCAGGGACCCATTGGAAATCTATTCTATTGTTGTTTTCTAAGTGTCTGAGAATGTGGTGCATGAGATTGACGAGTTTTAAGTGGCTATCAGACTTCGCAATCCTTAAAACACCTTGCCAGAAAAATTCTTACAGGCCTAGAGATATTCCTCAATGCCAAATGAGCACACAACAATGATAATTAGAACACACATCATATTGATTTTAGAACTAATTTTTTTTTTTCCTTTTGTGTTCTGTTTGCGAAGATATCCACACATATAGACAGGCCTAAATTAAGCGCAGTTAAACTGCAATAAGTGAAAAAATTCACAAAAAATTCTAGTAAATGGGAGAATATGTTATTGTTTCTCAGTAGTACAATGGCTAGTGTCCACGCCTGTTACACGGGAAACCAGGATTTGTTTTTTTTTTTTTTTTGTTCTTTCTCCTCTGTTTCGATCCCTATACGACATTTCCGTTCAGTTTAGAATGCATTTTGTCTTTTATTTTTTAATCTCGAGAACGGAGTTAGATAGACAACAGTGGCACGTTAAAGCTTCATGGGATCCAGGAAAATTTTAAATAGGGAGCCACATGTACGGTGTTGATAAAAGACATTTTTCTTTGGGGAAATTTTTGGGGAATTTCGGATATCCGGGTTCGTTTTTTTAAACGACACCCGTGGAGGGTTTTAAGATTACATTATCTGTCTACATAGATGTGCCCAGCAGCCTACATTGGGGCACATCTATCTAAACAAAGAAGGTCTAGATAGATGGGTCTATGTTGCCCTTTTCCTAATCGCCAGAGACCCCACCAAACGTTGCCTGCAGAAAATATAATTCTGTTCACAGTACGGGTATCTAGCCAACAAAATGAATTAATTTTGTATAAAAGATTGTAACAATAAGCCTTTAATCCCTTTTTTAAAAATATTTAATACAAATATATTTTATTATACATTCATAAAATATTATAATGAAAGGGTTATCACTCACATGAAACAATTAATGGCTTATATATCTCCTAAAATACATTTCGGCCCTTGGTGTTAGTGGCCCTCATCAGTTAGGTGAGCATCTTTTAAATACAAGGCAAAAATTATCTTAAAGAATTTATTACACGACTCATACAAACCATCAAAATGTTTAAAAAACCGTACACGTAGCTGTCGACAGCTTTACAATTGTAAACATCTTGATAACATGTTATGCAACACAGTGGGTTATGTAAAAGAGGCGTTGTTTCACAGATGTTGCTGTCAAAGAGCTTTATTACTTCTCATACTTCACTGAGCCCCAGCTACCTTTTCCAAATGATCATATACATACTTAGCACTTTATGTTGACCAATTAATTATTACATATTTTAGTCTAAATTTAATTAAATCGCCAACTGATCTTATAAAATCCTTTTTTATCTTTTCCCATTAGGAGTAGTAATACTTGCATGAACGTGCACAATACACAATAGTATCACATCACCATTTTAATTGCATCACGCGCAAGTCTATAAAGTTACATTAGATTAGTTACTATTAAAGAATTTGAAGCTTATCTCATTCGTTAATTCGTTAAAATTAATTATTACCATGCAGGGGCACGTATCCACCTCTTTTAGTTTCGGTTGCCCTTTTCCTAATCCCCAAGAGGGCCTCCAAACAACAGAAAATTCGTGACCCATGCAACTTTTATTATATGTTGACCAAAATCACAGATCCTCCAGAGTCATAAGCTGACACCTTAATCCTGCCGTCCACTAAACATTCGTAGTCTGGGGCGGATCTAGGGTTTTTCGGAGTCTAGGGCTTATTGAAGTCCAATGGACCCCATTTTTTCTTAATACAAATAATACTATAAATTATCATTATTATTAATATTAACTATTTTTATTACTATACCATAAGTGCTCATTGTTAATGAAAAAGTATTAAAAATTTATAATAATAATTCATTTTTTGTGGACCCTTGACACTTGGTGGGTTAGGTCTTAAGCCCTATCAGTCTATATGTAGTTAAGGCCCTGTTCGTAGTTGAGCATTGTTGCGCCTCACCAACTACCAGTGGTAGACCAGTAGTGAACGGACTGATGACGCGGAGTTTTTCGGGTTTTCTTCAAGTGTGTAACACCTATATAGGGGCTAGTTTCCCCATAGAAATCCTCCCGGAGCAATCTGCCAAGGCATCCTTCCCTACAAGGCAGATCACTCATGCATTATGTTATTTTATTCCGTCAATCCAATTCTTTTCACCAATCATATACAATACATAATTAACAATATAGTCCTTGTAGACAAGACATTTCACTTTACAAGTATAAAAACGGAAGCACCAGATGACAGGTACAATATTGTGAGATTCTGAATATTTTGAGCTAAAATATTCAAAAAATTACATAGAAAATTATTTAAAACTTACATATAATATTTCGATCAATTTTTATCAAAGTGACTTTTAAGTCAAAGAGAACAAGGGACAAATATATCCTAAGAGATCTTTATCTTCCATGACTAAAGGGCTGATTAAACCAAAAAGATTCATCATGACACCCAAAGATCCATCCAAAGATCAAAGATCAAAGATCAAAGATCATCATGACACCCAAAGATCCATCCAAAGATCAAAGATCAAAGATCATCATGACACCCAGCCACGTGACTGGGTGTCATAATGATCATGACGATCTTAATTCTTAATCTCTATTGGAGGAGAAAAACAGTATAAATACAGGATACGCGCCGAACTCCGTGCACATTGCACATCATTGTATCCTCCATAATTTGTGCCATACTTCTTCAGAAAGAACTTCCGTCCAAAGTAAAGAATTGTTATCAATCACATTATAAGTGAGGTAATATATTATTTTTGTAAACTCTCTCTCATATCTCTCATACTAGGGACAAGATAGTTAATTAAGATAGATTTAATGTTGAAATAGTCTATTTATAGATTGATTTTATTTTATTTTATATTATTAAATGTTGTTATTATTTTGTTAACTGAGTATCTTTGGTTTGCTCATGGCCAGACATCCTATTCCTTTACCTACGCATTCCACACTCGAAATAATTTAGCACTCCTTTTTAGAGTTACGATAAAAGGTCGCTCCCATTATAGGTGTAGACCCATAATGGAAGCGACCGGGTAGTGAGGAAAGGTACCCGACATATCTGAAACAGACCAACTCTAAAAAAAATGGTACCGGGACTCGAATTCAGATCCTCTAGAGCGACAAGCCGACGTCTCGGCCGTCAGACCTTCTAATATCGACTAATGGCGATATCCGTAAATCCAACGAGTGTCCGATCAACAAATTTCGACACCATATTATTAAGTATCGAAGATAGCGGACAACCACACTGTTAAATCAACGATTTCGCAAGTGTTTTGGGTGAAAAAATCTAATATTTAATTGGAATGGCCACGAAGCGCGTCCCACCCGAACTACACTATATAGAACGATTTCCACGGAATTCGAACCCGAATCTTAGCGGCCGAATCGATCATAATAAAACATTAAGGCTTCGACTTACGTAATTTGCATATTAATTAATTAATTAATTAATTAGGCTAAAAAATCATAAAAACATCATCGATTTCCTCACCCCAAAAAAAAAAAAAAATGCAATCGGAATTTTCCGAAACACGTCAGAGTAGAGTTCGGCTTAAAACAAATAAACCTTTACGTATAAATAAATGAACATTGTCGTTTTGGAATAAACGAAAGGGCACTAAAAATAGATTTGGTGGAAAAAAAATTACGCTTAACAAATTCTATCGGCGGAAAAGAAGGAGGAGGAAGAAACAGACGAAGAAACTACGCAGACGGATGGCAACACCAGGGGGATTGTCGTCGTTTAGGTTCTACTGGTGACAAATCGAGTCTCTTCGGAGTAGGCGAGAATTAAATTGTTTTATCAGTTACGGAAGTGTAGTCGCGCTCTGGGTAATTGTCTATCGTCGTAAGTTGCGATGGAAGAACACAGATCGTAAGGATCTCCGGTAAAGGTAGGTGTTTTTTTTTCTTTCTACCAACAATCCGTCGTCTCCTCCCCGTGATCAATTGAATTTCCAGCGAATTATGCGGTTTCCTATGCATTTTTCTATCCATTCCGACGAAAATCTTCTCTTTCTTTATTAGGCCTAATCTAAATGCAATTGAGGAAAATCGACTTGTCAAAAAGGATTTTTGATGGTTTCGTCTGGTATTTTTGCTTGCCTCTATTAAATGACAGGCGCTTATCTTATGCCCGTGTACAAACTTAATTAAAATGCTAATGTTTTAGTCGTCCCTAGAAGACGGATACAATTTGAGGAAGAGTATAGAAGTAGAACCACAGTTTCCTGTGTGTTTGTTCAACGTCCAACTCCCTCGTCCTTCCCTTTTTTTTTTTTTTTTATATTTTTTTACATCTGTTAATTCCTTTTTTCATTTATAAACTGTAAAATCTACACTTTTTATTATTGTTTTTTTTTCAATTCCTTATTTATTTTTTCTATTGTGACGCTGTCAAATTGCGGTGTTTCGATTGTTATTGTGCGGATGATGTCGGGATTAATTTCTTTTGTTTGGGCGCAAAACCCAAAATTTTTTCCCTTTTTACGGATCTAAAGACGAAATGAAATTCCACGGAAAATATTACCTGAATGCGAATGAGAGAATAGATAAATATCCGGTAAATGCGAATACTATAGTGACGCGTTCGGTATTTGGTCGACGCTAATAATAATAATAATAATAATAATACTTAAACGGTGTCGCGCATTTGTTTACCGTCTCTGCTAGATTTCCGTACCTACTCCCGTCGTTTTGGTGCCATAGGTTTGGCGGTATTTGTGTGCTTCTTGCCTCCGTTGTTTCGCGGTGCGTTGTGTGGGTACGCCGCCGGACCGTCCGAATGTAAACGTGTTATAATAAGAGTAAAGGCGATAAAATCTGTACCTTTTATCTTTGTTATGTATGTAGCCAAAACTTGGAGAGTAGTATTTAACGGTTCGAATTTTGTGGGTAATTAAGCTTGCCGTATGACGACGAAAGATTGTAATAGACCAAATTCTGATTATTCTGTTTACTTAACTGTAAATTAAATATATTAATGTGACTTGTTTTTAACATTTTAGACATATACTAATAAAGAAAACATCGATCTGGTTAACAATCAATTTGTTTTAATTACTTAAAACTTTATTTGTTGATACATTCTGTATGCTGACAATATGAAGTTTTTTTCAATAGTTGCTCGATCTATTCGATGTTTAGCAAATTTGTATGTTACATCAGAGATAATTTGTCAAAAGTTGCATTCTCGAAAAGTTATTTAATGATCGAAGGCTGGTCTAGTTATTTATATTAAGTTTTTAATTATTTATAATTATTGATGTCGATTCCGAGTACCGTAATCTTTCTTATGGACAATTAAGAAACTTTTGTGTTAGAGATGAGATATTTAAAATTTAATATAAAGTCTTTGTTCTGTTCTGTTACATAAATATACAACGTACGTACCTAAACGTGAAATCTATTTGACTCTTAAATATTCTGATTTTACTGTTTGGTTAAAAATATACTTATTAATAATACTGGCGGAATAGATTTATTGATTCCTAATAAAGATTAATTTCTTGATTTTGTGTTTCTTTATTGGCAGCTTATGTGTACTATAAGAAGTCATTTATTCGTGACTAAATTATAAATGATTTTTTTAATTATTTCTATAATTTTAAATCGTGACAAATATATAATAATAATAATAATGAATTTTATATAGTAGATCGTTAGCATACTTAAAAATCGGGTTTATGGATGGTTTAAATTTCATACATTATGATCATACATTTTGTTACAATATAATTAATTACAAAAAGTCAAAGGAGAATTATGTGTATTTTGTAAATAAAATATTAAAAGATAATATCTTTAATTAAAATAATAGTAGTATAAGAAATAAGATATTTTTTGAAATATTACTAAAATCACCTTTTACGGAAATGAAACAATCGGAGATGAGTGCCAAGCAGTTATTTATTTGTATAGATTATATTTTAAAGTTATTTATTTTTTCAATGTTAAGGCTATGGGTATTTACATAGAGATTACAAAGGTAAATGCAATAAGTTTTGACAGATTTATACTGAATCCTTTTGTTGTATTAGTAATAGTTCAAAAAATAGCTTCAACAATTATTTTAAGGAAACAGTTGTATAATAAATAAATGCTAGAGAATGACTTATATTATGTATCTAATATAAGAAATTTTACCATTGAATGGAATTAACAGTAAATTTAAATGTGCTATAATTTGGTTTATAGTGATTCTTATGAGTTTTATCGTGAATAAAACAGCTACTAACTAAATTTAATCACTTCCTAGTAAATTTTTATTAGTTATTACATTAAGTTATGTTTATTAAAATGTTATAAATTGAAGAAGTTTTTTACAGGATATTTACTAGCTTGCTAAACAATGTGTATAATATATATAAGATGCATCAGGATAATTTAACCAAGTGATTATTGCATAATTTTAAATGTATGGAATTTTCATAAATATATTCGTTGCAATTTGAATTAATTTTAAATACAAAGCTAAACTAAGCTAAACCTAATGTTTTTAATGATAAAATGTCTAAAAATTTTGTCTTTTGATAGAATACAAATAGTTTTGTTAGCAGTAACATTACAATAGAGATGTAAAGAATAATTTGTCATCTATCTAATATAGCATAATAAAAAAAATAATCTTTTGTTAGCCAAAAGGTTGCTTCGATAATGATTCATCATAATTATAAATATACATATTTGAAATAACAGATCTAAACAAACAAGAAAATGAAGCCATTATCAATCAGCTAAAATATTTTTAATGGAATTTAGAAACTTTTAATTTAATATTCTGAAATTCAATGCTCTATACCAAATGTTTCTCAGTTTTTTTTTTTATATCTTTAGCCCCTTTTGAGCTTAATATTTTTTTCCCCCTCTGTAATAGCAGCTGATTTTCATAAATTTTGCATTGCAGATGACATTGTTAACATTAAATCATATAACTTTCAACCTTCAAATTCAAAATATATATAGTACTGTACATACAGTGTTACTATATACATTTGCTACTTTTTAAAATACTCAAGTTTAGCTCACATTAGATTTTATGCCAGTTTCTGGAATGAACAAATGGTGGTGCTAAATTGAAATTTTACAGTAATGCACTCTATATATCTACATTCATATTTAAACAGTAAACATTGTTTGAAAAAAAAAAGATGAAAATGACATGCTTTGGGTACACACATAAGATTCAACGTTCTCATATCTTTGTTTACAAGAAACAAATGTGCGTATATTGTCTGATAGCAAACATTTTAGGTTCAAAATTTACTTATCAAATTTACTTTTGTATTTTATTTAAACACACTTTTATTAATTTACATACATTTTTCTATTAATTTACTTATTTAAGTTTGATCATTTACATATAATTTTAATATTTAATTTTGATTATGGTCCCCCATAGAGTTTGCTCTGGCTCCCCAAAGTTGATTTTTGGTCTGTTGCTCTCTTGAAATGTTCTGTGACTGGTTGAGAAACAATGCTCTATCCTTCCTGATACTTAGAAACAGGATTTCCTAAAATTAATTTCCTAAAAAAATTTCTAAATTTAATATTTTGTCTCCTTTATAATGGTTTGGGTTTTGCTATATATAATTATACATAATACTTACATATATTAACATATAATATATATAGTAATATTATCATGCATAGTTTTTTTTATGTAATAAAAATTCACAAAATTTAAACTATATAAAAATAAAACATTTGGTTAAATTAACTTTCCATACAATTTTTACATTAGTTAACAATTTATATAATAATATACTGTACAATCAACAAAACCTCTAACATCTACTAACCAACTTTAATATAAGAATTAACAAACATTTTTGATTTTAAAAACAAGATCTGTATCAGGTCAACAATGATATTCTAAATTTTCCAATTTAGAATATCATTGTTGACTTGATACAGATGAGAATGCACAGAACACATTACTGTAATAATTCTTGATTCCTAAATCAGTCAATGCCAATGTCTATCACAGTAAATTTATTATATTTACAAGCTAAAATTTATCTTTAACATAAAGTTTAAAATTATACAGTGAACATTTGGTTAAATTATCTTGACATATCTTGAATGTTTGTACATAGTTTCCTCTGATATCTGAAAGCACAATGTTCCAATGAAATCTTTTACAAGATAAACTGGATTAAAGCAATGAAGCAATTAATTTACGTCGGAAAAATTTTTGAGCATTTCCAAACCAAAAAAGTAGCCTACCAGAGCATATCAAACAACAGGTTTTTTTTCCTGTGATATATTATTTGGAGACAAGGGCATCAGAACTATGTAATTTTGGAATCTATAGAAAAAGTATGAAAGTTTCATTTAAAGCTTTTTTTTTTTTAATAGTACATGACAGCCAAAGATTTGAATTGAGTCAAATTGTTCAGTTCTTCCCCCTGCAATTGTTCAAATGACTATGAAAGATGTACGACTTAATTTGGGAAGAGAAATGTGGTTTTAGCAAGCTGCTGCTTTATCACATTTCATCATGGATATGGGTATACCTTTAAAATTTGGTGACAGTTAGATAGGTTGAAGAGGGCTCATTTGATGGACTATGAGACTGAGAATATGCAAACTCTCCGCTACAGTGACTATTGAAATATGCAGATTTAGTGTTGTAAAGAGAATAAATAAATACAAAACAAAACCAAAAAATTAATATTTAGAAATAGAATAAATAAATGATTAGAACAAAATAAATATTTATTTATAAATATTTATAAATGATTATTTAATTATTTCTATAATTTTAAATCGTGACAAATATATAATAATAATGAATTTCTTATGGAATATATATCTTATAGAAGTGTAAACAAGTTGAACATTTAATAAAATAAACACAGATAAAATAGTGTAATTATTACATCATTTTTAT